CACCTCTTATTCATGGGCCCCTGTCGCAGGTGGCTAGGTGGCGTGGGTGGAGCCACCAGTCCTCAGGCCCCTGATGTGGGTAGGTGAAGACCCTGCTTAATGCGCAGAGCAGTGTCAAATGTCAAGAAACTGCCACTACACAGCTCAAAGAGTTGAAGTTAGACTTTCGGTATATACCCTGTTGTACTGTGGTAATGAGAGTCTATGCTATTGAGACAGGCCCACACAAGTCTATGCAAGGGGAAAGGCCCTCAAAGTCCGTGGATCCCTTATGCCTGTGCCTAGGCAAAGGAGCTGTGCCTACCCTGGGTTCTTGGTTTAGGGGAGCCGGCAGTTTATTTTTTCCCTTGTTTGTTAATTTGTTCACTCTCCAAGGCAGGAGAATGGCTCTGGGCGTGTGACGGATCCTACCTCCAGCCTAGGGGACTCGGCAATTGCTGAAGCCAGTCCAGGACCCAGTGTACAGCAGAGAGCGAGGACTGGTGAGGTAAATGGGAGAGAGGTTTTTCCCTAAGGGGGGTGTTTTTGATCTGCACGGTAAGCCGTACGTAAGTACTTATCTTTCCCCGATGAGGGCTACTTCTCACTGGTTCTGGATGGCCATGTAGACTCTCTGGCACTGGGTCTTTCCTGGTGCGGAAAACATGCCTCCCGAGCACCACCGCTTGCCTGCCTCACTGCTCACCCCTGAGCTGATCAGGCCTGAAGGGCTCAGGCTCTCTCGCCAGGTCAGGACTGGCAACTCCTTGCTGCTTCCGAACCATCTCTCCCTCCCCCTGCCACTCAGTCTGGTTCCTCAACTCTGCCTTTGATGTTCAGGGCTCTCAGATTGCCATATATAATCAATTCACTTGTTTTTTCAGGTCTTTGTTGTAAGAGGGTCCACCAGAAGTGTCTGATTACTCTGCCATCTTGGCCCCGCCTCCCCATTGTTTGAATATATCACATTTTCTGTATCTATTCTTCTGTTGGTGCTACTTAGGTTGTTTCCAAATTTTAGCTAATAAAAAGGTACTGCTCTAAATGTTCTGTGTATATCTGTCTACTGGAGCCCACATAGAAGAGTTTCTCTCGGGAAGTGATTCTCAGCTCTCACCTCACATTGGAGTCATCTGGGGAGCTTTTGAAGGCCCTGGGTGGCACAAGTGGTTTGCAATCAACCACTAACCTAAAGGTTGGTTGTTCAAAGCCCCCAGTGATGCTGAGGAAGAAAGGCCTAGTGATCTGCATCTGTAAAGATCACAGCCAAGAAAACCCTATGGTGTAATTCTACTCTGTAACACATGGGGTTGCCATGAGTCAGAATCAACTTGGTGGCAACAGGTTTGGTTTTTCTGGTTTTGGGGGAGCTTTTAAAAATCCCAATACCTAGGCTGCATCCAATAATGATTAAACCCAGATCTTGGGATTGGTCCAGCATCAGTACTTTTAAAACTCCCCAGTTGATTCCAATGTCTAGCCAACGTCGATAACCACTGCCCTTGACCAGTGCTACTCAAAGTAGGGTCCTTCTGCCAGCAGCATCAGAGCAGCTGGAAGCTTATTACAAGTGCACTCTCAGGCCCCTCCCAGACCTAGTGCGTTAGAATCTATTTTAGCAAGACCTCAGGGAATGGAGATTATATTGCAGCTGCAGACCATGTACACCTTCATCTACTAGGTCTTGCCAAACTGCTGCTGCTGATGGCTGCACTGGTCCACACTGGTGTAGAGTTTTTGTGTCACTGTGCTGGGCACTCAGTGGGCTTTCTGTGTAGAAGCTCAATTCCTTCAGCCCTGGGCCATAGTCTCACAACAGCGCTTCAACAATTTTCTCTCCTTTATTTTCTGCCTCTCGTTTTGAAGTTCCTATTAGTTGGAAGTTGGACCTTCTCTATTGATCTTATATTTTTGTGTCCAATTTTCTTGACTTTCTGTCTCCTACTTTTACAATCTGTTTTTGTGCTTTTCTTCTGGGACATTATCTTTAATCTCATCTTCCATTCCTTCTGATGCATTTTAAAATTTCTGTTGATGTAGTTTTAATTTCCAAGAATTTTAATACTTCTCTTTAAAAAATAATATATTTTTCTTGTTTTGTGGGTACAACTTGCTCAGAGGATTGTCCTCTGACTCCTTTCTTCTGTGTATTGGGGGTCTCTGTATTTTTGGTTATTGGTTTTCTTCCAATTTTCAGTACTGTTGGCTGCCTAGTCCCACTATAAGTGAAACACAGCCAGCTGACAGGAAGCTCTGTACATGTGGGTGGGGCTTGATGACTGGGGGCCTCACAGCAGGACTGCGTAGAGACTAGTTGTTTTTCTGTCTATCTGTTGATTTTCTTCCCTTTGGTTAGTTTCCCTAGAGAGAAATTCAATAGTCTCCTCCCTTGGGGGTGGATGGATGGAGAATAGGCTTGGCTGTTAGCAGGAGAAGGGGGCTGAAGGTCTCCCATTAACCACCTCCGATTTCTGTAAGGCATTTCACTCCTAGTCTTTGGCTAGGGTTGGTGTCCCCAATCCAGAATCTTTCTGGCTTAGCCTTGGCAGGTAATAAACCTGTCTTCTACCAGGGTCAGGGAGGGGCAGTCACCAGGTTGCATGGGCCGGGGACCTAACCACTTCTTCGACTACTTTCAACAATGTGATTTTCAGACCCATCCCTAAACTTCTACCTTAGGGATACCTGGTCCCTCCAAGTTCTGAGCATCTGGGGAGTTCTGCAGAGTAAATGGCTTGTTTGTGGTTGGCATCCTCCCTTGTAGACATTTTAGGGAGGGGGTAAACTGATACTAAACAAGTTATATGTTTCCATCTTCCAAGGTTTTTCAGACGTTTCTGGTCTGTTGCCATCTCCTCTCCTGTTCTTTGTGGTTTATGCCATATTCATTCATTTAGGTCATTCTAGTGAGGATTTGGGAAGCAGAGGAGATATGAATGTGTTCCGTCCATCATATTCAATCAAAGTTCATGTCCATTAAAAGTTTCTATATATGTTTGTATTACTCATTTTCTTCATATGTGTACTGACATTTATTTTTATTTATTACATAGATGGCCTTGAGTTTTCCATTCAATACTAGGTTTGTGAACTCTATGAGCACACATAGGTTTAGCTCATTCCTTTCACTGCACCTTAGGAAGGGTTCCAGCAAATCAATGCACCACACTCCCCCCATCCATTGCTCTACTGAGGCATCTCAGAAACACAGGTGATTGTGGTCATTTGATCAACACACTGGCTCAACGCAAATTTTATCTTTATTGTTTTAATTCTGAAGCATAACATGTCACAGGAAAATAGCTGAGTTTTTTACCATCTGCCAGCGGCAAGGGCAAAAAAGCTAATGGTGGGGGCCGGAGGGCTTGGGAGAGAAGGCGGCCCTTCTAGAACTAGGCACATGAGGTGTGTGTGTGGGGGCGGGGGGGCACTAAGTACGGAAGGGTGTAGACACCAACACACACACACAAACATACATTCTCTCTTCAGGGGAGGGTTTTCCAGAAGCATTTGCCAGCACTTTGAATTAAGTATCTTTCATACCCACCTGAACCAACTGAAGAGAAGTGAATTAGTGGCTTAGGGGAGCTACGTGCCCTGGCTGGGAACTCAGCTGAAGGCTGCTCTTCAGTGAGTGAATTCATTGTATTCATCGGAATGGTTCCCAGCTCCACCAGCTGAAGAGAAGCTTATCAAAGTCAGGGAGGCCAATGGAGGGAGGAATTCAAAGAAACCTAGCAAAGAGCCAGGTTTCAACAGCAGTCCCTGGATCTAGCCCTGCTGGAAGGGAGGACACGGCTCCTGCCTCCCACAGCTGAAGAGGGGAAGGGTGGGCAAATCTCTCATCCCACCTGCTCTTGGCTCCAACACTCGCCTCTTGGGGCCAAGCTCAGCTTCAAAAGGTAATTGGTCAGGGATATCTTTTTTACTGCCGTTCATACATATATGGAGAAAGCCCTCACCTGGCTCTCCCTCTGAAACTGCAGTGCACATGGGAAGGCCCCACAAGATGGGCCTGAAGGAACTTCCAGCTCTAACCCAGGACATGAGCAAGCTTTAAATGAACACAGGGGTGGGCTGGAGGTGGAGCGGGGGTGGTAGGTGAAGGACAATAAATAAAGGTCAGGCTGAATGGGGGGTGGTGGTGGAAGTAGTGGTAGAGAAGGGCTCCCCAGGAGAAAAAGGCACTGGGTGGGGGGAAGCAGACTCAGCCCCCCAAACACTGGTTTGTTGAGTCAGAGGTCATCACCAACAGGGCGGGCAGCCAAGGGGACAAGGACTGGTCAGGGAGGAGCTGCGAAGGCCGTGAGGGTCTGGCTCCAGCTTTCGCTCTCTCTCTCAAAATCTTCCACAGAAAAGTCTGCTGAGTGCACCAAACAAGCCTCTTCCCACGGCAGGCTGAGGGGACTGTTGGAGGCCACATCAGCAGCGGGGACTCGCCCAGGTGTGTCTTTTGCCTTTCGGGGAGAGAGAAAAAAAGCCACCATAAGGTGAGCAGAGAGCCGCTGCCACACGGGCCCCTCGGCAGATTTCCCTCCTCAGTGACAGCTTAACCTTTGGGAACAAAATGGCAGCCACGGCAGGGATGGCGGACTCCTTGCTGGAGCAGCCCCCGCACCTAAGGCTGCTCTTCTCATCTGAAACTAGCCACAGAGGTCTGGGGGCTGGCGCCCTGGATGGGGGATCCATGGTCTAGGCCCAGCACTGCCCCACTTGGCTGCGTGACGACAGGCAAGTTGCCTCTCTGTGCCTCAGCTTGCCCATCTGGGGTAATCAATACAGGTGATATAAGGATGCCAGAAGGAGCAAAGGGACATGGGAATAGAAAATTTCCCTCTAGGCCAATCCTTTTCAAGTCGTTCTTTAAGCCATGCAATTCCTTCTATGCACTGCGCTCATGGCCCATGTTTTAGCAGACATTTCCTGAGGGCCTACTAAGGGTGGGCACTCCACGTGGATGCTGGATTTTACTCCCCCCACAACCACATGAGGGAGACGATGTCGTCCCCACATCAGCAATAATGGAACTGGGAGCAGAGAGATCAAATATGAGGTTGAACTATATCAAATTGCCGATATTTGACCATTTTTTGATCTACAAAAATGCAACTTCACATGGTTCAACTTATTTGCCCAAGGGTCACATGGCTATTGTGGCAGGGATGGGAGTAGAACTCAGGCCTGCCTCACTCTGAACTCGTCCTCTGTGCAGGACCTTAGGAGGTGGGCGGGAGGGGGGAGGATCCACCCCAAGACCACGCCCAGGGATGATGCATCTCTCTCCCAGGATGCCCTGCGGCCAAATTGCGGTGTTTTCTCGGAAACCACTGAGCGCAGCTGAGTACGTGTTTTCTCCACGTGGTTCCCTGGGTGCAGCTGTGCAGAGGGTAGCTGCCTATGGGAATGCACAACCACCCCCGGAAGGCACGCTCCTCGCCCTTCAGCTCAGGGTCAGCTGGCACGCTGACCCACGCATGCATCCAGCCGGCTGACCCTCTGGGTGGAGAGATGCTAGGCCAGCTGGCGCTTGCTTTCTCGTAGAAGACTGGGGGCCAGACCTGCACTTGCACAATTTTCTCAGGCTTGAGTGTGAGAAGCCCCCACCACATGATGACTGCGGGCTGGTCAGGGCTGGGTGGGAGCCTTGGATTCTTGCCTTTATCCTCTCTCTGCCTCAGTTTCCACAGCTATCAACTGTGGGCAATAATCCTCTCGTCTAGTCTGCCAAAAGAATGAAAGTCGGTCCTCGAGTCCCAGGGCAGGCTGGGGTTTGGTGCCAGCTCCAGTGGTCCCGGGTTCTCCCTCTTATAATTTGAGTCAGGTTTACATGTGGCCAAGCTCTGGTGGGTTGATTCAGCTTCCTCAACCACGTGGTAAGTTTCTTGAGGGCAAGGACTGTCCCCCACTGCACCCAGACCAGACTGGTTACACGATGGGGCTTGATTGCTTGGCACTTAATAGGTGCTCTTGAAACCAGAGTTACTATGATTATCATGAAGATGGGGAAATGCTTTGAAAGATAAGTTTTAGGCGGCCCAGGATGGTAATCACTGTTGTTATAATTATGGAGACTGGACTGGGAAGGTGTTATGGATTGAATTGTGTCCCCCCAAAATGTGCGTCAACTTGGCTAGCCACAATTCCCAGTATTGTGTGGTTGTCCTCCATTTTTGTGATCTGATGTAACTACCTGTGTGTTGTAAAGCCTAACCTCTGTGATGTTAATGAGGCAGGATTAGAGGCAGTTATGTTAATGAGGCAGGACTCAATCTACAGGATTAGGCTGTATCTTGAATCAATCTCTTTTGAGATATAAAAGAAAGAAGTTAGCAGAGAGGAGAGGGGCCTCATTACCATCAAGCAAGAAAAGCCAGGAGTGGAGCACATCCTTTGGACTTGGGGTCACTATGCTGACAAGCTCCTAGACCCAGGGGAAGATTGATGACAAGGACCTTTCTCCACAGCTAAGAGAGACAGAAAGGCTTCTCCTGGAGCTGGCACCCTGAATTTGAACTTCTAGCCTCCTAGACTGTGAGACAATAAATTTCTGGTTGTTAAGGCCATCCACTTGTGGTATTTCTGTTATAGCAGCACTAGATAACTAAGATAGACAGTTACTGTTATGGTTGTTTTGGGTCCCTCTGGGCTCATCGCAGGCAGGCAGGCTGTTACTCTAGCACCTGGCACAGCTCTCCGTGAACATGGAGAACTGAAAATGTCACCTGCTACTCCCCAGTTTTGGACGATTGAGTGAGAGAGGAGGCGGGATGTGGGGCGGGGGGGTTGGGCAGCAGACAAGAGAGAGGAGGCGGGGTTACAAGGAGCAGCTTGGTACTCACCTGTGCCCTTTGGGTCAGGCCGGGGCAGGGTGCCCCCCTGTGAGTCTGCAGAGCCCGCCCCGGTCTCGCTGGCCAGGCTGCTCTGGCTCCCAGAGAGGTGGCTCGGCAGGTGGGCCGGCCCCATCCTGGGGGACTCCGTGCTGCCACCTGCAAGAAACGACACATGGGCCTGGATGGCTCAGTGCCGGTCCTTTGGACCTCAGGCTGAGACAAGGATTAGCTCAAGTCAAGGGAGCTGATCTAAAATAACTTCCCATTTGGGATGCAGTGGGTGTCTACACGACTGTCTGCCCAGAAGCCTGCTACCCTGGGGACTGCCACCCCTACCCTCCTATCCACATAGCTGTCAGGTTCTAACCTGACCCCACCCTTCTGGCCATTGCTGATTGGTCCAAGATATATAAAGGCAACAGAATAAGGGCCCTCAGGTCATTTTACTAAGTGCCAAGTCACCAGCATGACAACTGGGAATTCTTTTTCTTGCCTTCAAAGAGTGTATATGAAGAGTAAGCATTTCAGTTAACCCAGTGAGAGAGATATTAATTGCTGCATTTACTAACTAAAGACTCTTCACTCAAACAGGGCTGTTAGTTCCTTGCCTGGCTGAGAAAGCAGATGTGGGCTTGTGATACTGCACCCAGTCTTTTCCTATATCCTAGGCCGATTTGGTCATTGCTGAGAGTTGGTGTAGGGGACAGAAGCTATGATGGGGGTGGGGAGGAGGGTGAAACCTGCCCTGAATATCAAGACTGGCAGGTAAACTTCTTTTATACTTTCCTAATACAGAATCTTTGTTCTGAAGGGGCCTAAGAGATTATCTAGTCCAGGGATAGTTTTTATCTCTTGTGTCATCTCCACCTATTGATATTGACCACCTGCAGTGCAGGAAAGCTGCATTGAGAATGATTCTGAGGCCACATCAGGGATCTGTGGGAAAGAGTATCATGATCAACTAGTAATGTCTGCCATGGACACAAGAATGGGGAGTGGTAGCACATGTGCCAGGCACTTGCCATCTCTGATCTAGCCCAAACTCTCATCCTTGTCAGGAATTCTGTCTATACCAGCTCTGGCAGGGGGCCAGCTAGCCTCAGCCTCAGGAAAGCCCCCCAAGGCATTTCATTCCAATTTGGGACAGCTGCAGTTATTATAAAGCTCTTTCTTCTTAGGCAATAAAATCAACCTCTTTGCAACTTCTTTCAAAGATCTAAATTCTAACCTCTGGAGCAACTTTGAGTAAAGCTGATCCTTTTCTCTGGGAAGGCCCCTCATGTGTTTAACCAAAACCAAACCAAACCCATTGCCTGTAAGACAGAGTAGAACTGCCCCATAGGGTTTCTAAGGCTATAATCTTTAAGGAAGCAGACTGCCACATCGTTCTCCCATGGAGTGGCTGGTGGGTTCGAACTGCCTACCTTCCAGTTAGCAGCTGAGTGCTTTATCATATGTTTAAAGGGAAGGACAACGTGCCCCCCGGCCTTCTCTGCCCCAGCCTCAATGCCCCAGTTAACTCTTTCATATGATGGGGTCACAGAGGCGAGCTCAGAGATGTTAAATTCAGAAGGAACTTGGGAGACCACCTACTCCATGTCTTTCATGCTAAAGAGAAGGAAGCAGAGGCCTGGGAGGTCATGGTGTGTATTTGGGGTCCCACTGCAGCTCTGTGGCAGAGTTGAGCTAGTCCGGGTAACTCAGCATTCATGAGACAGAATGTCACGGGTGAGCTTGGGGAGGAATCCCAGGTGTGCAGGGAGAAGGGCTCAGGGAGGTCTGCCTGGACCTGTCCCTTAGCCTTTCCTGTTTTCCTTCCTGCCCCCTGCATACACAGATGCACCTCGCTTTCACTCAGCTCTCCAGTAATGCTAATACTTTAGCTCCTAGATGTCCCACCATCAGGCCCACTTCCCCTCCCTGATCTAGAACAACTACCTGTGTAAGCAGACACCTGCTGGGGAGTGGCACCAAGGAACAGCCAAGCCACTCTGTACCTGGGCCTTCGGAAACGAGCCATGTTACCTCCCACGCTTACCTGATTCCCCCCAGGGTTTGTTGTCTTTTGGGTCTCTGACCCCAGTGGGCAGGAGTCTGTCATCCAGGCTGGAGGAGCTGAGATCTGAGTCGCTGTCAGTGTCGCTGGAAATCACTGGAAAAGACACAGAGGGGATGTCACCCTCACTGGCCACTGCCAGCAGTCATCTTGGACAGAGGGACCCAGGACAGGCCTCCCTTCTGCCATAACAAAGGGGCTTAGAACCTCAGTCAGCCCTTTTGTTTTGGGTATAGAAAACAATGGCTCTGGATGGGAAGGAACTTGCCCAAGACTCCACGGTGAACCGCTGGATGAACTGGAATGAGAACTTGCTGCTGGCTTCCAGTTCAGGTCTTCCAGCAGAATCAGGAGTGGTTACGACACCAGGCTCTGGAGCCAGACTGCTGGGGCTGGAATCCTGGCTCCACTTACTACCTGGGGAAAGTGCCTCAGTTTCCTTGTCTGTAAAATGGGGATAACGATAATTCCTCCCTCACAGGGTTGCTATAGAGTCAATGAGTTGGAGTACCTGTAACATGCCAGAACATACAGGGGTTCCTGTGGGGTCAGCTACGATTAGAATTCTCTTACTGTACAGCTGCTCAGCATTGCTTTTTGCCTTGAAGCCTTGCCAGCTGGAAGCCTCAGAGCTGTTGCACTTGCACCAAAGGTGATAATCAGCTTCAACCACGCAAGAGGGCTCTGATTCTGCCACAGGGAAGAGGTGACGAATGGAGATATTGGCCAGGGGTGAGCCCTTTCTGCTGGGACAGGTCACAATGGGCCCGAGTTCCAGCCTCCTCCCATGGGTGGGCGCACCTCTGGTTCAGCAGGTGGTCACTGAGGCCACCCCCAGCAATACTCCTGACCCAGGCCCAGTGCACTGACGTCACAATATGATCCGCCTGGCATTCTTGTGGGGCAGGCCAGACAGGAGCTTTTGCCTCACCACGCCGTTCAGTGAAGGTGCGTGGCTTTGAACACAGCGGGGATCTGAGCTGAGCTGAGTGAGAGCCAGGAGTCCCCCCTGCCCTTTCCCTGGTTTCCCTTAGAGCTTGGAATGGTACAAGATGCTGGTGGGTCCCCCTGCTCCCTTCTGCATTAGCAGGTTCAGACATTCCCCAGCAGGGAGGTAGGAGGTGGGTCTAAGGGTGGCCCCTCTGGGACCAGCCCAGCTTCACCTTGGCCAGGACCTTAGCTGAGCAGCTCACTCCCTGGATGAGCCTGAGTGACCTCGAGTCAGGTGGGGTGGCTGATACCTGCTCTGCACCTGTCACGGGTCATGATAGGGTAAAAGGCTTGTAAAAGCTGGACGGTGATGCCAGCCTCAGGGTCCGTCTCTTTAACTGGGAGCAAGAACCTAAAGGCACTTGCAAAGCAAAATGAGTGCAGAATCCTTCTATATTTTTCCATTTCTTCCTCTTGTCTTTTACAGTTGTCCTGCCCACACCTAATTCATTAGACTTTTTAAAGCAAGTTGCCTCTATCAAGGCTTTTTTTTTTAAAAAATAGACTTCATTTTTGAGAGCAGTTTTAGGTTCAGAGAAAAATTACACAGAAAGTACAAATAATTCCCATATGTGCCCCTCCTCGCAGTTTCTCCTATTATTAACATCTTGCATTAAATTGGTACATTTGTTATAACTCATTTGTTATAACTAAGTTAATAATATTGATACATTATTAACTATTGATGAAACAATACTGAGACATTAACCAGAATCCATGGTTTACATTAGGGTTCACTCTGTGTGTTGTATGTAGTCCTATGGGTTTGACAAATGCTTAATGCCATGTGTCCCCATTACAGTATCATACAGAGTTGTTTGACTGCCCTAAACATGTCCTGTGCTCTACCTATCCGTCCCTCCCCCGCCCCTCTGCAAAGACTGATCTTTTCACTGTCTCTATACTCTGACCTTTTCCAGAATGTAACATAGCTGGACTCATATAGTATGTAGCTTTTTTGAGATTGGCTTCTTTCACTTAGCAATATGCATTTATGGTTCCTCCATGTCTTTTCATGGCTTGATAGCTCATTTCTTTTACTGCTGAATAACACTCCATTTAGAGATGCACCACAGTTTGTTTATCCAGTCACCTACTGAAGGACATCTTGGTTGCTTCCAATTTTTGGCAATTATGAATAAAGCTGCTGTAAACATTCGTGTGCAGGTTTTTATGTGGACATATGTTTTCATCTTACTTGGGTAAATACCTAGGAGCACTATCACTGGATTGAATGTTAAACCTATACTAAGCTTTGTAAGAAACTGCTAGACTGTCTTCCAAAGTGGCTGTACCATTTATTTTATCAAGACTTTTTAAAGTCTTAGTTTTAATGAAACACCTCTCTTTTCTGACTCTTTTCATGAATGTATACAATATTTAATTAAATTATGTAATTACAATAAGAAGTACTACCGCGCAAAAAGGTTTGGGATCAAAGGTAATCAGCTCTCATAGATGTATAACTCAACAGAAACAGAAGTTCAGAAACGTCAGTAAGGGTTCTACTCAGGGCATGGAAAATGCTGGTTACTTACGGAGGAAGGTTAGGAGGGGTTGGTTGAGCTGTTTATGCTCGGCATTGTGCTAGGCACTTGGCATACATTATCTTAATTAATCTTCCAAACTACTCTGTGCCATAGGTTCTCCTGTTCCATTTTTGGGAGATGAGATTGGAAGAAAAAAATCAATCTATACCAGGGGTGGCTAATAGGTTTCATTTGATCCACCAAGCGCTTCTGGAGGAGCATGCGGAATTCAGAGATTGCATTAAAGCTCAGCAGGAAGAAGAACCCAGTCAATTAGGGATATTGGCTGTGGGGACATGAGGGGAAAACAGCAGTACCTATGCCACGTTTCTCCATCCAGCTCTAGAACCTTCTGGAAAGCCTTCATGCCTTCAGCCTGTGCCACCTTTCAGCTGAGGGAGTCACAGCTCACAGAACCAAGCAACCAGGGGGTTGGAGCTGGCTGGCCATTTTAGCCGTAAGAGAATCTCTGCCCTGTGCTTTAACCACAGAGCGGCTAGCACACAGTAGCTGCTTCATGGAGATCTCCCTAGAGAGCGTGTAATTCCTGCCAAACCTCGCCTAGTGCCTTGCTTCCCTATGCCCTCTTCTTCTGGCTCAGGTTAGGCACCCCCTCCTCCAGGAAGCCTTCCGCATCCCCTCGGCCCACCTGGCTGTGCATACGGCTACAATTGCAGCAACCACTTCCTGCTTCAGTGTTTGTGTGTCTCTTTCCCCCCATTAGATTGTGAGGCTCCTTGAGGGCAGGGACCAAATCATACCCACAGATGAGGCTAGTGTGGCTTTCTGTTCCTGAACCCACCCAGTGGCTCTGTGGGAGAAAGACCTGGTGATCTGTTCCCATAAAGATTTCAGCCTAGAAAACCGTATGCCGCAGTTCTACTCCGTCACATGGGGTTGCTATGAGTTGGAATCGACTCAACAGCATCCAACAACAACAAAGCTTGATCAATGAGCTTGACCAACATGGCGGGGTGGAAACAAGAGAGAACAATAAGAGTATTCTCAGCTTTTCCTTCCTTGACTGCTGAAGGCTCTGCCTTTTTTTGCTCAGTTTCTTTTCCTCCTTTGCCCTCAAGGAAGAGTTCTGCTTTAGTGTCTGTGATGTAGAATCAAGAGGGGGTGAGGATGGGGAGAACTTGAGGTCCATATGCCCCCTTCATAGCATTTGAGAAAAGTAAGTAAAAACCAGGCTTATTTTGCAATTGCTTTTCAGTTCTGGACTGGGTTTCTTTGATCATGAATCTGTGGAGCCTGGACCTCAGAGGTGTTGACTTTATAAGCATTTACGTGTTTCTGACTCATTCACCCACTGACTAAACACCAACCCCTTGGGTCTCCAGACAAAGGGAGTAGGAGTAGGTAGGCAGGAGGCAGGGATTCCTGTTTAACACATGGAGTAAGTAGCTTCCTATATCTCTCTTGGAGCAGCTTCAAAGGAATTGGAGAGGATTCTGGGCTTCCTCCTCCCTCAGAGCAGGGGAGGGGCCCAGCACGGTGGCCTTGGTATCCCTGAGCAGTGGAATATTCCCAGAGGAGAGGCTGGTGACTGATCTCCACATGAGTGTCCTCATCTCTCTGGCAGAAACGCTTGAGGATTATCTATTCATTCTTTCTGGCTTGGAATGTTCCATCTCCCTCCTCCATGGTTGATACGAAAAACTAGTTGCCATGAACTGACTTCCCATGTGTGTCAGAGTAAAAACTGTGCTCCACAGTGTTTTCAATGACTGATTTTTTGGAAGTAGATCACCAGGTCTTTCTTCTAAGGTGCCTCTGGGTGGACCTGAACCTCCAACTTTTCGGTTAGCAGCAGAGCGCGTTAACCATTTGCACCACCCAGGGACGGTACTTGATATGGAGGATCTACGTAATTCTGGCAGCCATGAGGACTTGATGCTTCAAGATGCTGAGTAACACCTGGATCGTCTGGTGCTAAGGGACAGGTGCCACAGTGCACACAATACCAAGGACACACACCCTTTCCCACCGGAAGGAGACAATAAGGGCCATCCCAGGACTGAGGTTACGGTGGCAAGTTCACTTACTTCATTTCTCCCCTCCCTTCCCTGCCATCCATTGTACAAGGTCGCCATGTTGGGCTGGAAGTGGGCTAACATAGCAAGCAGGCTGTGCCATGCTACATTGGGAGAGCAGTTTTGGTGTGAGCTGTATGTCTCATCCAAAACATCCACTCTGGAGATTGCCTAGTCCCCATATGGCTCCTGTATTGCACAAGATTTAAAAAACAAAACAACTCTGCAAGTTACAGTCAGTTGGCTTGTTTTTTTAAAGCCCCCAAAGGGCCACAGCCATGGAAAAGGGGGTAGCAACCTCAGATGACAAATGAGCTCACAAAGGCCCCCCAGCACAGGGACCTGGCCAGCTGATGAGACAGACTTATGCTCTCAGATGCACTCTCCCTGGGCTCAGGCATATTTGCTCGTTGTGTCTGGGATTTATAGCCAGGGCCAGGCCTCAGCTTAGAGGTCTTTGTAGTGCGGACTCAAATCTCATTTCTAATCCACTCAGATAAACCCCAATCACAAGAAACAAAGCAAAGGGGGTCGGCGGGGC